AGGCAGAAAAAAAATCATCAAAAGATAAATGAACATAAAAGAGGAAAACTTGCCAATATAGTCATTAGAAATAGAAAAAAAATGAGAATGTAGAAACTTTATCCACAAAGAATTGTCCAAGAGCCTGAGGAGAAAGAGATCAAAGGCAAGAAGATGGGTGGAGAAGCAAATCAAAAGGTGCCAAAGGGAAGAAGAGAGAGAATTAAAGAGCTTAGAGAAATAGCATTGTTCAGCAGAAGGTAAATCATGGAAAGTGAGTCCAAAAATTAATGGGAGTTAAGCAGAGAACTTATACCAAAGACACTCAGAAGTATGATAAAGGGTGGGGGAATGAAGGAAGAGAAGAGAATGCACAGAATAAGAGGCGCGAAAAGACTTAAGCACTAATGATAATGTAGACATTTGGAGTAACTGCAGAGTCAGAAAAAGAGCAAAACATAATAGAGTCTAAGAAAGGGGGCCTGGCGGTGTCTGAGCTGGACTGCTGCAACTTTCTTGGTCTTTGAAGGGTGATCAGAATGCAGGCTCCAGTAGCTCTTCTGGCCTCGTCAGCTCTGTCTTGCTGCGGTTCACGGGCTCTGAGCAGACCGGTTTGCCTGTCTATATTGAACAAGCCAGAGACTCACACTGTACAGCCCTTTGGTGCTTCCCCTCTTCAGCTGGCTCATCGGGAATTCCAGACCAGCACCATCTCCCGTGGTATTGATACCAGTCCGTGGCTAAATTCATTGGTGCTGGTGGGGCCGCGGGGGATAACTGCCTCAGGAGCTGGGGTTGGCACAGTGTTTGGCAGCTTAATCGTCGGTTATGCCAGGAACCCATCCCTCAAGCAACAGCTGTTCTCTTATGCTATCCTGGGATTTGCCCTTTCAGAGGCCATGGGGCTGTTCTGTCTGATGGTGACATTCCTCATCGTCAGATGTCATTTCGGGGGGGAACGCAGTTCCCCCGGGTGAGGTGCAGGGGGCGGGGCACATGACAAAGCCCCGCCCCCCGCTTCCGGCCCTCATTCAGCCAGGAGGAGGCAGGAGAAGAGGGAGGGTAAGTTGCTTCCTCCCCGCCTCTCCCCACCCCTGCCTGCCTGGGGCAAGGGAGGGCCTTGGCGGGGCTTCCTCGCACTCCCGCTGACCTTGCAGGTCCACCGCCGGGCCCCTGATGTCAGGGGGTGTGGCATATGCTAATGAGTTACTAATGAGTTCCCCTAGCTCTTTTTCTACGAAATGACCCCTGCTCATCGTGTTTGCCTTGTAACCGCCTCAGAGCCACACTGCCATCTCCATGTGGTCTGTGTGTCCTCTCGGGTCTGAGCCTGCCTCCCTTGCCAGGGCATTACATTAATAAACAAGGGAGTCTAAGAAAAGAAAACCATATTGATTGGTTGACCAAATGCAAGGTATCATAGAAAAAAGGAGGAGGGGACAAATGTTGAGATGATAGATCAGTTGCCAGATTAGAATGAAAGTTAAAATCATCCAGTGTAATTGGTTGGATCTCGTGGATCTGGTCCACAGGAGGAGGTGCTTTCCTCTGATGTAATGAGCTCCTAACATGAGACATCTTGCATTGGGAGAGAGCTCCTTCCCTCTGCTAGCAGAAGGGATCCACGGGGTCTAGCCCAATAACTGAAAGAGAAGGTGAAAGAAGAAGAGACAGCCAGTTCTTAAGTCAGCAAAGAGTAAGGGGCATTGGGTTGTGATAAATAACAGCAAGTAGGATTGAACTTTTCTGCCCACTTTTTCAGCGTAGCATTTCTAAACCTGCTGAGTTACCAGGTCTTTGAAAGGCATGGGCCCAAGAGTAAGGAAGGCTGTATGTTCTTGGCACTTGAATCCCAAAGGATGCAGATTGATTAGAGTTTCTGTTTTGGCAGGCTGAATCAATGCAGCCAGATTATTTGAACTGAGTTTAGTTTCTGTCAGCCTTTGTCATTCTCTGTCTTACTAAATCCTCTAGTTTTACCAATATATCACTCAAACAGTCTCTTTTATGATGACCTTTGCACAGAGAAACTAATATTTACAAAATCTAATCCCATTCTGTCAGCCACTTCTCCTAAAACAATCAGGGAACAAGCAGACTACTATCCATCACCCTGGGATTCAGCTTTTTTTTGGGGGGGGGGCGGAGTTTATTTCCACATCCTTCTTAAAACTAAACACATGTAAATATTGTAATAATACAATAGAATAAAATTGGGCATTAAGCCTTAAATATGAAGAATCATCAAGGGTTTGGTGAAAAGAATCTGTAAAAAGAGCTATTCTGTGAACAGCCTTATAACAGAGCTTTTGGGGACATCTGCTTCTTTTTTTCCTCAGTCTCTAATTTTATCTTTTACAGATTCAAGTATATTTCCAAGCCATTTCAGGATGCAAATATCCTGACAAAATGCATGGAAAATTAAAAGTTGATGCTGATATAAATTTGTTCAACAGCCAAATGTCTTTTAAAATTGAGTTTAGCATGCAAGAAGATGTGTTATTAAATAAAAATATGATTTCCTTATAAGAAGAGCAGATGCTCAATCCATTTGTAGAAAACAGAGCATGGCTCAATCTGTTAAAAAAGAATGCATCTGCAAAATGTTCAACTAATGTGGCTTTGTGCTAGCTGTAACTATTTGTATGGCAGAGTGTCAATGCAACCTCAGGCAGTTATTCCCTTCTGAGTCCATTGAAGTGGATGAGTTTACAAGGGTAACTCATTTCAGAATTGTACTGTCTGTATACTAATCTGTCATTTAGTGGTGAAGTAAGGATCAGTCTGCTTGAATAAAAGATATAAGATTGATCTGTGACTTGGAAGCAGATAATTACTGTGAAAATCCAACTAAAAGTATCTAAAACCTTGTAGTTTAACTGCGCACTTCATAAGTAATACCACTTTAATGCAATGCAAAATGTTGTGAGGTTATAATTCTGTATTGTGTTTCTTAACTCAGGCCACTATGTCAATACCATTTTAATGCACTTCAAAATATTTGCACTGTTTGACAACACATAGTTCACAGATTTTAGTATAAATGCCAGAGCCAAACTGGCATTCACATTCAATAAATGTTTATTCAGTACAACGTTTCTCGCTTTATAGATACAGAATTTTTTACAATATAAGAGAAAATGGAGAATATGTACCTCATTTACTTCCCTCAGTCTTTCTTCTACATGGCAGTTTAAAGATATCACTCTTTGCATTTTGTTTAAATTAACTAGGGCTGCTTCCACACAATGAGAATTCTCCCCACTGTTTTCTCTGTGGTTACAGAAGTATAGAGGCATGTGCATTGATGATGAAGCTTCCATATATGTGAATTTTCTGTACTTTCATGTTTTTGCTGACTTTTCTCTTTCACACATGCTCTGCATTGGCTCTTGGAGGCATGGTCATCATGGCTGCTATAGTGACTTGCCTCTGCCTATTTCGTTTTTCAAGCATGCACTGTAGCACTATACCAGTTTTGTTAAAAGCTGAAGCAGATTAAGTTTTGCAATTTATCTGTCTCCATTTAATCTGTACCCCTTTTAAAGCCTGTGTCCATCACTACATCCTCTGGAAGTAGATTCCACATTTTAATCACTTGGGTAAAGAACCATTCCTTTGAAGTATTTCATTTAGCCTTCTTAATTTTGCAGTCACTTGAACTAAACTACTAAGAAAGAAGACATGGTGTTAATAATTCTAATAAAAATCAACATTTTCTGGAAAATGGGCCCCGATCACATGGGCCAGATAACACGGGGGGGAGGCGTGGCTGTTTGCCCCGGAGCAAAATAAAGCATGGTAGCCCAATCACATGGTCCCCCGAGGCTTCGCACTTAGGCTGTTAGCTGGCGATCACACGGCGATGCTGGAGTGTGGCAAAGAAGTGGCATGGCAAGCGTTTCGCGTTTATGTGCGTGCGCAGTTCCGCGGAGCAGCACTGCTTTCAGTTATGTGTTTGTGCGCATGCGCTTACAAAAAACACCCAGTTTGCGACGGGACATGGATGGGCGCCGGATGCCACGGGATACTAGCACTCCCACAATCAGATACCCACCCCGCCCCGCATTTTCTAGATACTAGTGCACTTTCCACGGTAGTTTTTTACTGCACGTCTTCGGCAGGACGCCACGGGTTGGCCACAGGTGCGCTACGTTTCCCAGATGTTGCAGTGTGATTGTGCACCAAAAATCCACCTGATATTTGTGCATTTAGCGTGGCAAATTCTCCATGTGAACAGGGCCAATGAGTAAATCCTATATTAATTGATTAAAAATAGTAGCAGAGAATGTGCCTGAATTAATATTATGGTTGAATGACTGCAAGTAAAAGAAGGGAGAAATTGATTGATTACCTCTGTGGCTTGAAAAGTGCTATATAATTATAGAATCCTATAACTTGAAGGTATATGTTTCAACCTCTAGACTATGAAGTATCATTTTCTGCAAATAGGAATAAATAGTTCCTGCTAGATAAATGGGGGGAGGGAGATTGTGGAGGTAAGAGCATGGTACAGATTGATGGGAAAAAAATAGAAGAAGAAGAAGAGATTGGATTTATACCCCACCCTTCACTACCCAAAGGAGTCTCGAAGCGGCTTGCAAACTCCTTTCCCTTCCCCTCCCCACAACAGACACCCTGTGAGGTAGGTGGGGCTGAGAGAGCTCTGACAGAAACTGCTCTTTTTCAAGAACAGCTGTGCCAGAACTACAGAAGACATGTCGGTATGACACATATTGTGAATATGTGGTTGAATCTAATTTATTTAAAATTTAGTATTATACGCACAAATAATTTTTCAGTATTCCAACTGTTTAAACAGAATTATGAACACTTAAAGTTCCCTTATTCTATATAGCCATATTTTAAAGCATTTTCATAGGCAAATGATTGCATTACATAGTCTGAATTATGTTGTGTATTCTTCCAGAAGATGTCCTCTTTTTAAAATGTTCATATGAAGAATATTTTTGTGCCATTTTTTTCTCCCTTACTGTTGAATTTTGCTTGTGTTTACTTAGCCCTGAAGTTGTCAAGAGTGAGCCATATGGAGAGAAGGCTGATGTCTGGGCTGCAGGATGTGTCCTTTATCAGATGGCAACTCTTAGTCCTCCTTTTTACAGCAACAACATGCTCTCCTTAGCAACTAAAGTATGTATGTTTGCTAGATGAAAATACACCACAACCTTTGCATCTCTTTATTTTATGGATGACCCCTTCCTCCTTGCTTTTGCTGTGACAGCTCCATCCTGAAAATAATGTTCTTCATACACTGATCTTACAGTGCTCAGGGACTTGACAGTAGTATCAGAGAAACAGCTCCCAACACTGGCCGAAAAGAACAAGGATTTCTCCTGCACTTGCTCTGGAAGTTAAGCACCAGATCTTATACTCTGCTTGGCTTTTTGATGCTAAGTGTCTGCATCCTTTAAAGCATAATAAAGAAAAGTTTCTAACCCAGAGCAATGTGTAATCTGAATATTGGTTGTAAAACCTCAGTGTTAATTAGTGTTTTGCATGTTTTTAATTTGTATTATGGTTTTGATGAATTTGTTAGCTACCCTGGAGGCTTTTTAAAAGATCATAAGCCAGGATACCAATATTTTAATAGCAGGTAAATAAATATTTTCATGCATGCATTTTTCTGTTGCTCTTCTGGCCCAGTTCACACTGGGCGATTACCTCTGTTTCTGTCACAGAGCTATTATTTATTACAAGGTATTTGTTATAATTCTGGAAATGTCATTGTACTCAAAAGTGTGGATTTAGCTGTCTTTCTATTCCCCCTCATCTTCATCTTGATATAAGACCAGCTTCTGCTCTCCCTGTCTTCACATATGCTTAGTAAGCAAGTTTTGTCCATTATAATGACAATGCAAGAGAGCCTGCAAAAGTAGTAGGATCCACAAAAAGATCCTACTGCATTTGAAGTCTGCAAAGAATGAATTATACCAGTGTTTGTATTCCCCACATGCTGAATGGATTGTCCCACTGAGGAATCAAGGTGGTTGGAAGAGCCATCCGGAATTGCATTTCCCTGGTCAGATTAAGGACTTGCTCCAAACACACCACCTTTCTGCCTAAATCCTTCCCTTTCTTACCTTTATTTTGGAAATATCCCCACAACCCTGACTTTCCCTCCTCCTTCTTTCATTCAGCCAATCAGGTGGCATACTTGACTGTCCACCCTGCCACCTCCCCTCTTTCCAAGCATGTCCTATCCTATTGATGTTGCCTGCCCTATAACTGGGATTATACTGTGTCCCAACATTTTAATTAAAAAAGGGGGGGAAAGGATTTACAACAGCAAATTTTAATGAAGGCTTTAAAAAAACCAAGAAAAGTCTTAATTATTTTCTAAAAGGCAGAAGCAATTTCTCTGACTCTCAGTGCAGAAAATGTGTACATGTGTTTGTACAGAAAATAGTATTCCTGCTCTACAAAGATTCTGCCTTATTGATGTTTGTGTATGTGTTTCAGAATTCTGAATACTATATTGGGTATATAACAACTGGTAAGCTCACAGACATGTAATAGATAGGAGGTTACTCAGATGAGAACAGGATCATCCTAAGAATATTTTGATGAGTGTTAAGATTAATTTCTGACATGGTTGTCAGTTTGGTGGCTGAAGATCTATGGACCCCATCCGGTATAATGAGTATACATGTGTCTGTTTCATTGTATGTAAATACTGCAGGAGCCTACCAGCTCCTTCTTGAATTTACATTGTTGATGTCTGTTGTGATGTCCCAAAGGAAAATTATAATCTAATACACAAAACACTGTTCTTCTACTTTTGACAACAGTGCACTATTTTTGCAGATAGTAGAGGCTACCTATGAGCCTGTCCCAGAAGGTGCCTATTCTGAAAAGGTGTCAGCTGTCATTAAAAGGTAAGTAATTTGTGCAGGTTTGGCAACGAGACCACTTGCTTGACTTGAATAATATTAAGGCTTGGATAATGCAGAAAATCTCTGCTGATGGAAGATATTTCTGTCCATGGAGTGGGACTGCCTTTTCTCAAGACGGCATAAAACACACATTTACATATATTTTTTTCACAGGGTGGCCATGTTAGTCTGCAGTAGAACACATAGATTTGAGTCCAGTAGGACTGTAGAAACCAACGAGCTTTTCAGGGTATGAGCTTTTGAGAATCAAAGCATCCCTTGTCAGACACTTCATCAGATAATTCTTACTGGACTCGAGTCTAGCTATACAGTTACATTGAGGAATTTAGACTATGCTCAAACAAAAGGAAGATCCAGATTCAGAAGACTCACTCTTTGGGATTGCTTTGTAATTATCATGAGCAAAGGACACATGTTTTATAACTGGGGTTGCCAAACTCCAGGTGGCACCTGGAGATTCCCCGTTATTACAGCTGATCTCCAGGCAACCAAGATCAGTTCCCCTGGAGAAAATGGTTGCTTTGGAGGGTGGACTCCGTGGCATTGTATCCTGCCGAGGTCCCTCCTCAAACCCTGCCCTGCTCAGGCTGCACCCCCCAAAAAAAATCTCCAAATATTTCCTAAGCCAGAGCTAGCAACCCTATTTATGATAGATGATAATGCGTAAGAAACAATCCAGGTCCTGTTCAAAAATGAACTACAACAAAGAACCTTTTCTATGAAAAATTAATATATTGGTTTAAAACAAAACTGGTCAGTCCTACCTATACTTTTGTTCTGCTTCTTAATGGCCTTGAAAAGCATTTTTTTTCCTGACAGAAATTCTAAATTAGAATGAAGGAAATTTCTAAGCATAAAAATTGCTTTCAAACCGTAAAAAAATGCTGTATTTATTTATTTCAGTTTTATTCCACCCTTCTTCCAAGGAGCTCAAGACGTCATACAGGGTCCTCCCATCTTTCATTCTGCCCTTATAACAAGTCAGTGGGGGAGGTGAGGCTGAGAGAATAAACGGTCCATGGCTACCCACTGAGCCTCACTGCAGAGGGGAGATTTGGATCTTCTCATCCTAGTCTAGCACACTAACCACGGCACCACACTGGCTGTCTTCTTTCGGCCATCGTTTTCTCTTCCATCTTTCTTACCCTTGTCTCCTGCCAACTTGGTGCATTTTACCTCACTCCCCCAGCTCAGATTATAGCTGTCAGGGAACCTCTTCATCATGTTGAATTTCTAGGGTTACCAACCTCTGGGTGGGCCTGGAGTTCTCCTTCAGTGGGGGGAAGTCATCCAGGAACTGGTTAGGTCACGCCTCTGCTCGCTCGATAGGCTATGCAAATTTCTTTTGTTGCGTGGCTCCTATTTGTTGGGCTCCCTTCAACCCCAAATACCACCCTCTCCAGGGTCCATCCCAGAATCTCCAGGAACTTCCCAGCCCAGACTTGACAACTCTATGGAATTCTGTTAAGAATGTGTTATGTATTGAGCCTGAACTGCCCTTGCAAAAGGACTGAGCTTGGGATGTATAACAAGAGATTGCTAGGATCCTAGAATGGACCAGTAGGGAGACAAGGATCCTAGAGTAAACCAATTGGGAAACAATAGAGTGTAAATAGCCTATTGTTGGGAGTGGGGTGTTTTTGGGTATAACCCTTTTCAGGCATAAATCCCTGGCTTCGGCCAGGGATTCCAGTCTTCTTTCTTTTGCTGAATCACTAATAAACTATGAGCTGATCACTTCTACGCGTCCGAACCCAGTATATTTCAGAGTGACTCATATTGCTAATTTTTCCTTTTGAAGACTTAAGTTCTTTATTGAGCTTTGGCTGTTAACACTAGCAATGGAATTTGTTATTTAATCTCTACCGTAAAATGTTAAGAGGATTTTTGATAGTGGTTCTGGCAGTTGTTGGCTATGCTACTGTGATGTCATCAAGGAACTGGGCAGGAGGAAAGGAAGACCGATCCTCTGTCTGCCATTTTCCATCTTGTTTTGATGCTGTACAGAAGCATGGGGAAAGAGAGGCAGCGGAAGCAAGGGACCTAGGGAAGAAGAAAATGGGTACTGAGAGCAACAGAGAAAATAATGGTTCACCTCAGAAGAATGAACGGTACAGGAAAAGGGAAAATTGATTAGTCTAAAGGGGGGAAGGGAAACAGAGAGAAAATAAGTACAGGGGTGTGCTTCGACAGAAAATGGAGAGATGAAGGTAGTTGAAGTTCACATGTTGATTCACATGAGACACCAGGAAGTGGTGGTAGTGACGGTGCTCTGCTGTAAAGGTACCTTGAGGTCTCCAGTATGTCTGTAGTGATAAATCTTATTATTAGAAGCAGCATGTAATTGGTTTGTTCCACTGATGCTTATTTGGCATAATGTCGTAATTGGCCACACATCCTATCCAATTTTCATAAGTGATCTCTTCATCATTCTCTGCTGAAAAACCTGCACAAGTTTTAATGGTACGGAAAAACAAAACAAGAAGTAATTACAAAATAAGCTAGGTAGTTATTTGGATTTCTTTGGTAATGGGAATTCTTTAAATGAACATGATAATATTTCAAAGAAGTTAGTTCAAAGAAATGTGTGTGCCATTACCACATTTATTCTCGCAAAAGAGCTTACAAAATGACAACCCATGGACAAACAGTCAAGTAAAAATAACCAACCACATTTGCAATACTGCCTAAAATATCAGTGTTATCAATGTTAACTGTGAACAATTTCAGAGCCATAAATAATTTTCCAGCTGAAGACAAACATGGACAACATAAATTTAAACACTTCTGAAAAAGATCTGCTTTGTACAGTTTTCCAGATTGCTAGACATTATCACATATGGTGGTCTGTAGTCTTTTTACACAGCCCAATTTTTTAAGGCCAGAGATAAATAAATCAAGACCATGCCGAGAAGACCTGCTCCTGACAAAAAGGTGTAAGAGAAATTAATTTAATACCTAAACCTGTATACAGGTTTATACAGGCAGAGATAATCCTTCAAGTATGATGGTACCAGGTCATAGAGAGCTTTCAAAGTCAGAACCCAGAAACAAGTAGTTAACCAGTGCAACTGCCTTAAATTTGAAATCATGGACACACCTATCTTATGCCTATCAGAAGAGTTGCAGAATTGCCTTGTCATCTTACTTCCCAGAACTAGAGTGGCCTGGCTTTGGGCAGGAGTCCAGAGAGATGGGGACATGGGGGACAGCAACAGCAACATTGCTACTCTGCCAGTATCAAGTTTAGACTGGTTTCCAGGAGGACTCTCTTGTTGTTTAAGACCTGCCCTAGAAGCTTCTATGCCTATGCAGTGTTTTATAGGATTGAACCCTTTATGAGACCTGCTAAAATGAGATGTTTAACAAACGCACTAATGAACAGTTAGTTTTCCTTGCTAACTAGCATGTGCTTAAAAGTAGTTGTGATTCAGCTGATGCACTGCAAAGCTGCAGTACGTTGATAAAATGCCTTAAGCAGTAGAATACTTATGCTGCAATCATACATCAACACACATACACACTCAAAGGTGGCTGCTAACTCAATCAGCTTGCTACGTCGAGATCCACTCAGGCTCACTGACCTTGTTTCTGTCCAATAGCCCTTAAAGCATTTCCTGTGCAAATCTGGTATGGAGTGGTAACAAGCAAGAGAATATTAGATAAAGATTCCAGAAAATAAATGGATTTATGAAGTTCTTCTTGTTGGAACTATTGGTTCAGTAGCCCTTGAGCAGCACTCCATGAGCCCACTTCCATAGCTATAAATTTCACTTATGGCAGTTATCATTCTTTTGGACTTCTTTACTTAATGGAGGTTTTTCCATAGATGCTTGACCCCTGATGCAGAGACTCGGCCTGACATTGTAGAAGTCAGTTCACTGATCTCAGATGTTATGATGAAGTATTTAGATGGCTTATCAACCTCCCAACTTGTCTTGGAGAGGAAACTGGAACGTGAAAGGAGGCGCACACAGAGGTATTTCATGGAGGCTAATAGGAACACAGTGACATGTCATCACCAGCTTGCTGTATTATCTCAGGTAAGTAAATGTATTTGGTCACGTCATCTCATACAATAGATTCCCCCTGTTATGTGAATCAAATCTCAGAGACCGTTGGACCCATTTGTGTAATTGGAAATGCACAAACACTGTATGCATGCTGGAGCACCAACCTGTTTGTATGCCTCTAGCATGTGTATGATATAAAGTTTTTATCTACTTATAAGCACACACCTATACATACAATATGGATTGTTGACGAGAGTAATAACACAGCATGTGTGCAGCTGCCATGGTGCAGCTTTTTGCCTAACGGGAAATAGAACTGATGGCTGCACGAACAGCTGTGGTTCTCTCAGCTGGTAAAAAGCATCACTGTTATGGAGACCCAAGGACAAAATGTTGGATTAGATGGTGTAAGGCCATTATTTTGAAAGTGCAGCAGAGAGCTGGCAAATCAAGAACTAATTGCCAGCTTGTTAACAAACATGGAATCTTAGTTGGAAGACATCCAAAAACCATCTAACCCAAATCCTCCTCTAAGTCAGGTACCTTCACATGCAAAACATAGTTAGATGCTATATGAATCCCTTTGCAGGTTAACTTGCGTGATCCAGATCATATATACCACAAGCACAGGTTTGAACCACCATGTTTTGAAAGAGCCTTGAAACTTGCTGAGAATTTTAGTAACTGTATCTTGTTTGCATTTCCTTTTTCGTAGGAACACTATGAGAAGTCGAGCCTCAGCAGCAGTAGCAGTGGAGCAGCCAGTTTTAAAAGTGAACTTTCTGAAAACACTGACCTGCTGACAGAAAGCTTTCACCCATCCTGTGGAAAAGATGAAGACAAAGCCTGCCACGAAACCCTTTCAGATGATAACTGCACTTTAGAGACTTCAGAAAAAGGTGGCGGTGACTCAGGACAAAATGGCATGTTTACCTGTTATTCTTTGATTATTTTAAACAATGTTTGTTGGTGTGTGTGCTTTTCTTTCTGCCTCCCTACCTATATAACTAGAATGCAGCTGAAGGGAAACTGGTGTGGAGGAGAGGAGGAGAATAAACCCTTCCTTCTGTTTTCCCAGTTGAAAATGGGCCCTTCCAAGCTGCTTTTGGCCCTGATGGAGAAAGCTAGACATCCTATTGTTGTTTTTTAAATCATCATTAAGAGGGTTATGGAACTACATATAAGTGAAATTTCAGTATTTCTAGTGTCCAGTTTAGATTGGATTGGAAAGGTTCATTTCTGTTGTTATTTTTATGTGCAGATGTCTTCACAGAATTAGATGATGAACTGGACATATCATACAATTCCAGCAGCTGTAGTTCAAGTCCTCTTAAAGAATCAGGATTTGGTAAGCAATAGCACTTAAAAGGAAGCAACAATGGTAATCTCCATTGTTATTAATCAGAAGTTCATCAGTTTTACTAATGCATTAATTTTATTTTCTAAATAGAGATGGCTATCAATAAATAGTTAAATAACAATAAAATATAAATACCTTGTTTTTGTTCCTGGTGGGGAACTGTAAAAGTTTACCAAACTATACTAAGGCACAGGGCTTTACCCTAAAAGGGCAAACAAAAATCACCCAACAGGAGAAAGAGGGAAAAAGGTCTGTCTCTTGTTTTCCAAAAGGGCAAAACAAAATTCTAAACAAAAGTCTTTAGGTAGAACTGCCACCAGGTCCCTTATTATGCAGTTGCCACCAGCCCAGGAGAAAGGAAACCCAAAACTCCTGTCTGATTCGGGAACAGCAACACAAATGCAGACGGGAACTGCAGCTCAAAACTCAAAAGGAGACAAAAAGGCTTTCTGGTAGAGAGTGGTCTAAAAAGGTCTAGGCAAACAGGATTTAGGCTTTGAGACTTGGTAACACAAAGAACACACAAAATTATCAAAGTAAAATATTTTCTAATTTATTTAGGTGCAGGAAAACATAAGACAGTGTAGCTGACACTAATACAACGTTACCTTTCCCCAAAGACAAAGTTGCAGTTGATCAGCATACGTAGTAGTCACTTCTTAGCCCATCCAGGCATAAGCAAACTGGAACGCCATCGTTTGGGGTATTGAACTACTGGACCATACTAGGCTCAGTAGTCACAGCCCCAGTGCGGATTGCCACTGGTACTATTGACAAAGGTATGTCTCTATCACCAGGCAACCAGAACCATAGCTTGAGTAACACGGATTCTTATAGGAAACTGGCCCCTCCTTGGGTTAGGCCTTACCCATTGGTGGGTCAGAAAGGTGATGTCAACCTTCCTAGGTTACCATGTAACCAGTACCCCATAATACCCCGTGCTAACCCATAATATTACGGCAGGGAGGAGGGAATCGAAAGTTATCTGCAGCATAACTCCCTACCCGCCTACATGCAGGTGTTGCGGGGTTAATTGGCTGGAATGCACCTAATGGTTAGCATCTCAGTCTCCTTATCATCCACAGCTGGGAGCAATTTCTCCAAGGTTACTAAGTGCTCTCAGTGCTCTCTGTTTCTGGGGAGAAGATTCACTTGTTGCTCTGGAAGTTTTTACTACAGGCCCAATACCAGGCCTGAACCAAGGGTTGCACAAACACTCGCAATTAAGAAAAGCATTTTCTTTACACTTACAGTATCATTTTCTTCTTCATTTTATCCTCCAACAGCCTCCCTGTGAAGTATGTCAGGCTGAGAGAGAATAACTGGCCCAAAGTCACCCAGTAAACTTTCATGGCAGAGTAAGGATTCGAATCTGGGTTTCCCAGACCCCAGTCCCATACTCTAACCAATACATCATGCTGATGTTTGATCAAATTGTGCTATACCAAGTGCCCGGGCAATACTGGAACAATTTTCATAGGTTATAGGTGGTATTGTAGGAGCCATTCCAGAATTTTTCAGAAAAGATTTGGAAGGGTCCAGTCAATGCAGCCTTAAATAGAGGGAGTAGATCATCAGGACTCAGATGTCAGGTAACCAGATTTAGTAGCAAATTCTTTCTCAAGACACTCCAAGACTGCATTGCTGTTACCATGACATAGGATGCTAGTTACCCAGGCTTGGTTGGCTTGCCTCATTGACATTTGACTGGGAGCCCACCCCCACACCCCCACCCCCGCATCTGTCCCACACCTAAAACCTGCTGCTCAGGCTAGGCCCCCTTCTGGTAACCCTGCCATGACAGCAGCATCTTCTGGCTTCCTTCTTCAGTTTGCGCTTGGGATAGTTGAGACTGTGCATGAAATCTTGCACACATGTATAGGGGTATGCAAAAAAAAAAATGCCGGTATTTTTTCAGCTTCAGGTATAGCAGACCCAAAAAATATTGCTAAATTCTGAATTTCCCCAGTCCAATACTGGTAAAGTATTCGGATTGGGGAAATATCTGGTATTCCCGACTATATTTAGGTCAGATATACACCACCAGAGGGAAAGGAGGCATGTTAAAATGCCTTCTTTCCCTCTGGTAGCCCCTACAGATTTCCCTGTCAATTTCACTCCCTGCTAGTCAGCTGTGAGTGAAATTGACCAGGGAAAGCCTCCACTCTCTGCCTTCCCTTCTCTAGCTGACAGGGGATAGCTGGAGAAGGGCAGGCAGGGAAACCTGGCATGTTTTGAATGCCTTTCTTTCCCTCCCCTGTCTGAATATGGATATCTGATGTGTATTCAGTTTATGAAATAGCCAAAAAATATCAACAAGGTATTTTTTGGTTTGGCTATTGTCAAATGCACACCCCTACACATGTACCATGGAATAAGCCCCAGTGAACATAATAGAACTCACTTCTGAGTAAACTCCAATAGGAGTGCACTGAATGGATCCTACAAATTCAATCTAGGTGTAGTGAGATCTGTTTTGAGGAATGAGTCCTGGTTGGCAGTGGCATGCATTGTTCTAGCAACATAAAATCAATATGTTGAATTGATATTTATTATGAATGGTATGTCAGCGTGTTACCAATTTAAAAAACAACTGGTAGTATAAGCAAAGCTTGGAAATATGATTTTATATGTTGAGATTATAAAATAATCTGAGGATAGCTGTTAATAGACCATTTTGGCAGAAAGGTTTGTTGATAAGTTTCTGGTAGATGTAATTAATGTCAAGCAGTGCTCTCCAGAATTTGGTTAGTAACTTAATGAAACTGTTGCTTGTGGGATCACAAACATGTCTTAGAGCAGTATGGAGGAGAGCCTGTAATCACTTGGCAGTAATAAAATGGAGAGTCTTAATGAATGCATATAACAAAAAGTTATTGCACTAACCCCACTGATGATTGAACCATTGGTCAGTACCACGTTCCTGTGGTATCATTAGAGTTGCAAGGTTAGACAAATAATGCAGCACCTCTGTTTTAAAAATTATGAATCTTGCAAACCTCAGAACCACATCTTTAAGGTTAAACAGATGGGGAGAAATATGAGTTCCATCCCTACTTGTCCTGTTGTGTGGTGTGACAGCGTGGAGCCTGAGCGTGGAACTGAGGAGCCAGTTTGGTGTGGTGGTTAACAGCGTGGACTCTAATCTGGGAGAACCAGGTTTGATTCCCCAGTCCTCCACATGCAGCTGCTGGTGTGACCTTGGGTCAGTCATTAGTTCTTTCAGAGCTGTTCTCTCACAGGCAGTACTCGAAAGAGCTCTCTCAGCCCCGCCTACCTCATAGGGTGTCTGTTGTGGGGAGGGAAAGGGAAAGGGATTGTACGCTGCTCTGAAACTCTTTCGTGTAGTGAAGGGTGGGGTATAAATCCAATCTCTTCTTCATTAAGAAAGTCTTGGAGGGCTAACAAAGTGAGATGTAAATCCATGATCAACATTTCCCGTAAGTTTTATTTTTTTAATGTCAAATCAGCAATGTCAGACTGATAATTGGAATCCTAAGTGATACTGGGTGAGCCTCCTTCATTCTGTTATGTCAGATAAACTGTTTATGCAGCTTCAATGGTAGTATTCGTTTGTACAAATAAAAAGATGGCCAGCTATCAGTCTGCCAGAATTCTTTGCTTCCATTGACAAATCTCACTAGTTGCCTGTCAAGCACATTAACTTCTGACAGCAGTTCTTGTGGTGTAATACTGCAGAACTAAGAAAATACTTATAGAAAGCCCCACATTTTATATCACCCATAGTTTTAGATTAATATTGAAGCATTAATAGATCCTGTTGTGTCCTCCTTACTATTGGCAAGGATTTGTATGGTGGGGAAAGGAGGTTTCATGTGAGGAGTACAGCTCATAGTCTTCTCTCAGCACCAGACCCATTTCCCCCCCTGTTCTGTTGCTGCCAATAAACCTTTCTCCACATCATCCTTAATACTCCTTTGTTTTTTCAGCTGTGCTCAGTCTACAGGATAGCCAGTAGTGTCACCTCTGTGTTAATCACACCATCTGTCATACTAGAGGCAGAAAATAAATCAGGCCTAGAAAAAACATATTGCTAATTACAAGAAATAATATGTTTCCCCCCACACACACACATACACACGCATACAGAGTCTTTGCAAACAGAACTTGGTCTCCAGAGAAAGGGAAAGATTTTATTTCTAGACTCGGCTTCTGTTGTTAAATTGTGGTCTTGCACATGCGCAGTAGATGACCTGCATGGGCCCTTCCAACTCTGTGATTCTATGATTCACTCTGGGTAGGGATAGGCAGAGATCCCCAGTCCTTAGTCATAATCAGTGGGCTAAATGGCCATTTAGCTTACAGGGAAATTTCCCAGTGGCCACTGCCCTAGAGGGTTACTAGTGGCCAGAAACAAGCAGAGCCAAGCCCCAGCAACTCTGCCAATGCCTCAAGGGGGCTCTTGAGTCAGATTCTTCATCAGCAATGGTAATTGGTCACCAGGTATCTCCTTCCACACTGCTACCAGTTTGCAGATGGAAGCAATGAGCGACTTAAAACCCACTGTGTAGCACCATAAAGGCTGCTCAGCTTGGCTTGCTCCAGGGCCATTTTCATTTCCCTGCCTGCTCCTAGGCTTAGTTGCAATTAACCCAGAAAACTGAATTGTTAACCAGATGCCCGCAAATGAATCTGTTATTCCCAAATCAATTAAGAGTTGACCTGACCTTTGGACTTTCCATATTTCCAGGGACAAGACTGAGAGGTTGCAAAGGACAGACAGGTAGCACCCAGATGGAAGGGACACAGGGACTTGTATCACATGACTGAGGGGTCCCCAGCCTTTTAAAGTCTGTGGGTGCCTTTGGAATTCTGGCACAGGTTGGTGGCTGCAACCACAAAATGGCTGCCACAGGAGGCACACACCCAAATAATTTTTAAACATACACTGGAAAAGAGTGAGTGGGAGAATAAAACCAACACGCTGATGGCAGCCGCTGCCAGAACGACATTATTTAAATCTGCAT